ATCGGTGTCTACCTGCGTCTCCACGCGCACTGCGATGTGCAGCGGAACCCACTGGTTTCTTACCACTTCCTCTGGAGCGTCCTTCCGGAATATCGAGAACATGAAGATGTACAGGGAGAAGTCTACGCTTGGGCTATCTAGCATTCTTCAGTGACACGCCGGCAAAATGTTCACAGCCCTTCTCAACTCCCCTTTGGCACCGAGTGCCGACAACTGTCTTGCAACTGTCTTATCATCGGCGATCAGTCGAATATTCTAAAGCGTTGCTTGCTCTGCATTCTACTTAGGCCTCCTGGCCAGCTCACGGCCAGGCCTCTTTCAAGAAATCGACCGTAAACGACACCCTGGAATGTCTTGCGAAGCGAATTAATGTACATGACTAGTCTTGCGATGCAAGCGTCCCAAGAACAGTAACGTGCCGCATAAAAATTATGTGGAAAATGAAGAACTTACTTCACATTGTCCAATGTGTGGCCTTCGTTTGACTGGGGTGGCCGGCCACTGTTTGATGTCGTGGTGGCACTGGCAACGCAAACCAGAAGCGGCGAATGTGAGCCACATTAGCACGAGCCACCTCGTATTTAAGAACTCCCCCCTCAGCCTCATCTTCCGCAGCTACCTTCCTCTCGGTATATTCTAGCACGATGAACGACCCACGTAACGGCCATCACCCATACGTTCCAGTCTATTACCACAACAAGGCCCCTCCCCCGTATGCGCCTCATCCTCCTGGAGATCAGCGACTCCATCCACCTCCAGCGAACGCTTCGGGGTCATCCTCGTCTACATCCAAATTAAAAAAGCGGCACGATAGGCCTCAGAAGGACGAAGAGTCTCTCCCAAGACATTTTCTGCCCCCTGCTGCGAACGGGGACAAGCTAAAATCTACCAGGGAGATTCGCCATCGTACTGAGATGCTACAGGCCACTTACGACAAACTAACTTCAAACGAGCGGATCTACGATGACATGGATCAGTCGCTGCAAGATGCTTTGCGCGTACACGCTGCCCCTGCTGCTCCTGGTACCTATAGGTTCTTGGCGCCCACCAACCAGAGCGGGGGAGGTTCTTTCGACCCTAGCCCAGGGTATACGTATTCCAGTGATGCTACCAATCGGGCGAATGTGGACGTTCCGCCTGAAAACTTTCAACCTTACGCGGTTTCACCCACGAAGCAAGGGACTTCCAGGCTTAAAGTAAGTGCGATCGTGTAATATATATCCGACCCGTACTGAACCTCCTTTCCACGCAGTCTGGCAGCTTGGTTATCGTTAGGTCGAGTAAGATGGGAAGATGGAAAGTGGGAACATATATGTCCGACGGCTGGTATCGAGGGCCGGATGTAAGTTTCGTGTGACTGTCATACCCAGCGCTTCTAACGTATAGTTAAGGGAACTGACCGTCACTACTATCAAGTCCGCGATCTTGACGGGAATTCACAATCATACAGTTATCCATCTGAGGATGTTTCGTGCATCCCGTCTGACGACACACCTCAAGTCACGCCTTACGACAAGGAGCAGGCCTCGACCATGATCAGGAATCACCTCGTAAAACCGCCAACCCGAGACGTAAGCATGCTGCTTTCCCCACCAATACTTAAATCATTGATTCTAATATGTCCTACAGAGTTTCCTTTTTGCTGCTCTCCCCACGAAGGTCAGGTCTCCTATGTCGGGGATCGTCTCCACCTACAAGGTGTGGCACCCAGTCATGTGTCTAGGGGTAGGTTTCTCGTAATTGTCTGCAAGGAATCTATACCGAATTGATGACCTGTAACATAGGGTATGCGGGACGATTGTGGCTTTTCAGCCCGCGTAATTGCTGGGGACCTTACCGGTGGGGAATATATCGTTTACACTGTTAAACCATATTGCGGACGGTGAGCGGCAGGATTATTGACCTGGCGTGGATAATTCGTGCAGTAGCCTGTAAACTTCTCGGCGTTAAAGAGGGAAAGTCACTTTGTGATCTGTTTATTGGTCGCAACGCTCTGTGTACTTTTGGATTCCCCAAGATATTGGTCATAATGAATATATTCGTCTGACAAAATTGTAACTTCGCGGTTTTGTTATTTTCAATTGCGAAAGCAGAAATTGTCATAAGATTCGGTGTACCCGCCGGTTGCAAATGTAAATTTCAGAAACGCGTTACAGAAACCTTCGACAAGCAAATAAAGTCTGGATATCACATAATTAGACAGTCATAGTAGTAATGGTGATTCAGAAGGGCAGTGACCTAAGAGTTATACTAGAGATACAGAGTAACAAGCTGCAAGCCGTGCTGATGAAGCTCGTTTTTGGGGAAAATCCCGTTTTTATTCTGGTGAGAATGCAACTTGAAGATCGCTGGAGGTGCTGCACAAATACGAATGTTGTCAGAGGATTTTACGTATCCCGGTTCGGCTCCGTCACATAGTATCATGAATGATAGACAGCTTTCAGGAAGACGTATGTTGTCATCTTCGACGCCGAAATTTACTATTGCAAAGGTCACAACATAGTGCTGTCGGATGTATTTCCGGATATTGTTTGGGAGGGAGGGAAGATCACCGGAAAAAATTCTCCGATCGAGTATGTTGTAGCTTTGTGGCCGGTCCGAGCGGTCATCCAAGTAGAAAAAGACATCGTATGTCCCGGTTATGCCTCCGCAGGGGGGGTATCGCTTGCCATTGTCAAACATAGTCAATATGCCTGGTGCAAGAAGAAGCGTCATACGTAGTCCCAAATGCGTGAGAATTATTGGCTCGGGAGGGGAATATAGGTCCAACAAGGTCCCTGTCGGTTGGTTAGGTGCGTCGAAGGCATCCTTACGCTTAGAATACAGATCAATAGAGCGGGGAAGAATTCGGTTGCTTTCGTCTTGCGTACGATTGAAGAGATCTAGAATATTCTTCTTGGTGGCCAGTAACTCGCGCACGAGCCGGAAAAAGGCACGCTCAGAACCTTCACCATAAGCAATTGGAATGTCCACTGCAAGAACGCCCATGAGGGAATACGACGTGTCCTCTTCGCGTGTCACTTGGCGGCGCGATGCCATCTGTAGCCTTCGTGAAATTGGGATTCGTTCTATTTTTCCTTGCTGGCAAAGACCCAGCTCACTCTTCGTGATAGTAGTTGCACTGGTGATAAGCGAAAGTACACTCTCCTCGTCAGTGAAGCCCAACAGAACCCACTCCGAATTATAGAAGCAGGTCTGGACAGGCGCCAATAGCTCCTGTAAAGTCCACCCGCGAGTAAACCAAGAGTCGGTACGGCCATCAGCAAGTTGTTGAGTCTCTGACAGATATGAGATACAAATGCGGGCCCCGCGGTACCATTTATACATCGATCGGATGGACTCGTCCAGCTCGGTGCTGCTGTCCTTATTGATGCAGACATTATCCATCCACCCAAGAGTCAGCCCATGGATCCGCGCAGCGACTTCGCAGAACTTGGTGACTTTGGCGTAGCCACGGGTGTTGAGCTTGCGCGTCTCCCAATTGCGATAGGTAACATCGCCAGGCGAGTCACGAATCCAAGTATGGGATAAAATGGCGTATTGCGCGGTCCGCTCCATCACGTCTATAATCAATTTGTGCTGTTTGTCCTTCTTATTTTTCTCGTAAACATACGAGTCGTCGCGGAGCTCTTGCGTCTTCTGCCAGGCCGATAAAAACTCTTGATTGGACGTCGCATCACGGATGTTGGGAAGGATACGCCGAAAAATTTCTTCTTGTGAAATGAGCTGCAGATTGGCGCCGGTCGAATCAAACGAGAGAATGCGAATCGGCATTTTGTTAAAAACATGCCAGCGAGCTTTGGTGAGTGTCATAGTTTCCAACTCCGGTCTGGATACTTCTGGGTGAGGGAGTTATATTGAACCAATCAACGACGGTGGGTGGAAGTAACGTACGGCTAGGAATAGCTGATATAAGTCGAGTCTTTTCTCTCGCCTGATCGCCTATAAAGACGGCTTCATTCAACGCGTGTGTCAATTATGAATGTAGGCCAAGTACCTTGATTTTTCGTAGGGATATCAGACCATTCCAGATGTTCAAGACGCAGAGTTACTTTCACGAACTCCCTCAGGGCGAGGATCAGATTTTGACCTTCTTTCGTTTTCACCACATCTACAGACGTTACTGTTTCCGTCCGGGCCAAATCTTCAGGCTTGGGTGGCTCATGTGCATGAACAGGTGCTATATAAATCAGCCGACGTAAATATATCTCAGTGGCACCACGTACCGTATCCTTGGATGACCACAGGCTGCATGAACCTTGCCAAAGCCAATAGAAGACTCTCAGCATGCACTTCCGCTGTCTCGATTGTATTACCTGAAAGACATTACATATCAGCTCAGTTATCTTTCAAGTGATACTTCATCTAGGCCGAATCGCTGAACGAGTCGGACTCGGACTCACCTTCAAGTGTCGTACCGAAGCTCGGAGAACTGCCTAAGAAGATCGATTCGACGTTAATCGTGGACCATGGAACGCAATTGTTTGTAGAATACCTGAGTTTGCGGCCATTTCTAGCTAACACGATGGGCAATGGTGGGTGTTTGGTGTTAAGAGCAACTCGGCTGTCACGGTGCCATCAGCGCCATCAATTTGCACTGTGTCCGAATTTGCAGTGCGGAGACTCGGACGATATGCGGTGATTCTCATTGGCTACATTGGATTTGGATTTAATGATGAACGAACCATATGTAAGTATGTTTTGTACTTGGAATGCAAGTACAAGTCATGCCAATTATTTGTAGAGCTTATGACGCCTTTGTAACACTGCTCGACGCGCCATCCCGACAGAGTCGGGCAAGTCATTGATTTTTTGGCATGTCCATCAATGCGGCGCGACATTCGGATGCAAGATGCAAAAGTAACTTACGCTGCTCTAGACTATTGCCGTGGGCCGTGATCACTGATCCTGGTGACTGGCCCCTAGATCCGTTTACAAAAGCATCTATGGTTCTTTGGTTCAACTTGGGTTCCAACTTCCATGCGTTTCCAAAGAAAAAATTCCCTCTAGCCGATTTGAACGACTGACCTCGTCATACACCGAGAGTGTACTAGTGACGCGCTCTACCGCTGAGCTAAGAGGGAGACAAAGCGCGGCTCAAATCTTACAGTCAGAATTACAGTTTGAAAGTAGAATGCAACGACCACGGCCCATGGTAATGCGGTAAGGATGCACCATGGATGTACTTGAATTATCTTTACTTGAAGCTGAATCAGTGACTGCAACCAAAATTTATCGAAATTTCTGTCAGGTCCACCCGGTATGTGTTGCGTATATGACTCCATTACTATCAAATTACTACAAAAAATTACTATGCAGAATCATCTACTTTCTCCGGGTCTGATTGCGACTAATTATTACTCCTCGAGGTTTGCTCGTCCAACGATATGGGAACGAGATATCTCACACCTCTGCCTAAGGCCCTTGACAGAAAGAGACTGGGACTGGTTTACTTTGACCCTATGTTTCCGAGCACGGTATCTAAAATGTCAGAGGAAGATGATATATACTGAGTATCTTTTGGGGGTTGACATGGCTCAGGCTCGAGGGCGCATGCTCCTGTCTTTGGATGCTATTTACTCACCAGATCATTCTGACGTGAATCTCCACATGGGAACCCTTGGTTCCGGTTATACTGATGCGCATACCTCGCCTTATCTTCTTGTGAAGCTGTCTACCCAGAGCCTAAATCGTGAATCTGAATTCAACAGCGGTGCAGTCTGTGTACCGGGTGGGCAAAAAAGCTGTTAGATGATTCAGATTATACATCATATTTCATTCGACACTGATGTAGAGAGGCGTGGGTTTCACGAGTCTCGATTCGCACTTTTAGAACTTGGGCAAGATAAGCATGATTCAGAAGCAGCGTCTGTGCATGTCGACATGTGGATGCACTTACGCACTGTGAAGCTATTCTTATCCGAGAAAGCCTAGAGAAAGCTGCGCTTGGGCTTTGGTAAAGATACAGTAGGAATAGCGTGGAATTGGTGTTATTTCCCCTAAAATTATCTTGACAGTAGTATCGACGCCCATCCACATCTGGTCCCTTGGCATGGGAGTCTAGTGGAAATTTAGCATCTACCTTCCAAGCATACTGAGATTTTGGAGTCGACATTAGGGGAATTCAAGATTGCCAGTACAAATAAATGAAAGCGAGCACCATGGAGGATATTGCCTTGCCCAGCCGCACATACAAGAGAGCACCGAGTCATGCGAATTGCATGCGAACATGAAACTCACGAGACAAGACGAACACCTTGGCGCAAGTACGAGATACTTGAGCTTGTAGAGATTGAGGCTACCCGGAGGCTACCGAGATAGCTGGCCAATTCCCAGTACCAGTGAGACGGACCGCGCCCCATTGTGCACCTCATGACAGTAGCAGCGGCCTCTTTGTGGCGTCTCAAAGTCGCGGCAACACTGCGGTCAGATCCATGTTGCCGAGTAATACGTTTGTGCTCTCCCACCCACTATCCCGCGTGCTGCACGTAGGCCGCCAATGAGCCACATACGATGAGTGTGCTCCCTTCGACGAGTGTGCTCCCTTCAGACAGAGAGGATTACGGCGTCGTTGCGACGGCGAAGAGGTGCTGGCACAGCGTGAACTGATCGCTCAGGTGCACGGCGACCTGTTGGAAGATTTCCTCGTCCGCGGAGATGCAGTATGCACAAATTGAACAATCGGCAACAATTAGCTAGCCAACTCATCTTTGGTGTCGTCGACAAATCGCAAAGGGCCTAATCCATTTGTTTAAAAGTAAGTACATATGGCTCCGCACGGGTGTACTTACACTCGAGGTTCTCTGATGTGCCAGTGATGGTGCGAGGAAGAAAAGAACGTATTTCTCACGGATCTGCATCGGGAAACTTGTGGCTCAACGCGATCACGTGTACGTGGGGGGCTTCATCCGGCCTCTTTCCATTCTCGAGTCGATGCCACCACAACTTGATTACAACACATTTGAGCCACCAAGGTCCTCCATATAAATTGCTTCATCTTCGAAGAAATATGGCCATATCCCCACCATCTGTCTCTGATCCCTCGTTGGATTCAAATCTTCACTCAACTGAAAGACGTTCGAGTTCAAGTTCATGTATGTGAAATCACGCTCATCAATCTCGTYTACCTTCCTTTAACCAAACCTTCTGAATATACCAGCTTCTAGCTCAATGTCTACACCAATGATCAGCAGGACTGCCAGCTCCAACAGTGCTAACGCCGACATGATGAAAGCGTCATTGCGGAAAGACGTCCAAGGCCATATTCTTGGTGAAGTCGACACCAAGACTTTTGTGACGGAGGTTTGGGGCCTCCCTGCCGCCACTATCTTGAGAATAAGCGAATCGACGCTTCATGCCACCCCCGACGTAGAGCCTACCATCGCCACCTACAAGTCGCTACTCAGTGGCAAGGAACGAGAGCCTGCTTTGCATGCGCCGTTCCGAAAGCTGGCCGCGACGTTGTTGGCCAGTATTTGCCAGACAATGGGGSTGGAYTTTGAGCAAGCAATTACCACGAAGTTCTGGGATACTCAAGGARACGGAGAGCTAKCAAGYAAACTATCSTTCGTGAACGAAAGGAAACGGAAACCCGATATGTTGGATATGTTCCAGCAGGCCGTTGGYWACCAGCCCGYGTGGGACGACGTACGATGCAGCTTTGAATTCAAAAAGAGGGACACTCGGACGGCGCCGCTGGGCWCAATTGCAGAGGGAGACGATACACCCCGAAAGCTTTTCACGACTTCAGGTGCCGTGACTTCTTCCAGTGTGGTCCCTTCTCATTCGGAAGGTCTGGCGTCAACACATTCGAAGGGGCGCACTGCTTCAGGTGGCACCGCACGTAGTGGCTCAAAGAGGCGGCACGCCGAAATCTCCGACGCTCCGCGGCAGGGTACATCGACCAACCAAAGTAATAAGAAGCGGCGACTTATTGCAGTCAACGTCGACGACGCGCAGCTGTTCACATACGCACTCGAGTGCCTAGCTACAGGAAGCCGACATTACACCACTGGATTCTTGATTGACAAATTTTGGGTCACCATCTGGTACTTCGACAGAACCGCCGTCCAGCGAACGACGACCTTCGATTTCAGCACTGACGAAGGCATATTATCGCTGGGTCTCGCTCTTTTTGCCCTCAGTCAGTGTACCATGAAGCAGGCTGGTTTCGACCCGTACCTCCACAAACTCATCGCTCCTCAGCCTGGTCAATCGATTACCGAACGGTCTGTTCTTCCCCTCCTTAAACCTTCGGGGAGCGTCAAGGAGAAGTGCTACATGTTTCCGATATCTGGATCTAGCTCCGACCAGCAGTACATCTTTCCCTTGGTCGACTATATTTACAAATACTCCGGTATTGTGGGTCGCGGCACCTGCGTCGCTACAGTCCTTGTGGCTATACTGGACAAAATCATTCTCGCCAGCTTACACGCGCTGAAGATGAGCTGGCAATATAGTACGCGCAAAGCGGAGGCGGACATCATTTCGCACCTTCGTGGCGCTCTTCCCGAGTACTGGCGAAAGTTTCTTCCTCAGCCTGTCTTTTCCGCAAGATACACGGCTGCTCAGCTGGACCTTCCCCGGTCGAGGATGCGTGATGCTGCTCGCGATGCAGGGGTGGTAACAGATGATGATGAACATGTCCGAACTGTCGACCGCGATCTGGACGTCATCGTGAACCCAGTCTATACCAACATCTGGAAAGCGCGTAGCGTTGACGAGTTCAAGAGAGCCTTCCTTGATTGCCTAGAATGTAAGCGACACAATTTATATTCCATCCCTTCTTTTCAGCTGATATTCGGCTCTCAGGTCATTACCATTGTTACACCACCGGAATGGTCCTCCACCGCGATATCAGCGAGAACAATCTCATGATATACAGACCGGGAGAAACAGACCGGGTTCCGGACGAAGTCAACGCGAAGTTTTTTGTGCAATCTGAAACGAAGACCCTGGAACTCAACAGTGCTCAGCCGTCGCACGGAATTTTGAACGACTTTGATATGGCGTCGGTGCGTAAGGAGGACGGGAGCATCAACTCCGACAATGGCCACCATCATCATATTACTGGAACGCGTCCTTTCATGGCTCTCGATCTTCTTGAACCCGCATGCCCGTCTACGCCCACGGTCCACCTTTACCGCCATGACCTTGAATCCTTCTTTTATATCCTTGTTTGGGCTGCCACTCACTACAAATACACTACAGGAGCGGTTATATCCGTGCCCTTTCTCAACACTTGGAACAATGACGGAACCGAGGCATTTACTTCCAAGTCATCATTTCTTATTGTCATGAAATCGGCATATTTGAGAACGTACTGTCTCCCGGAGTTCTTTGAGCTTTGGGATTCATGGATCACTCCTCTATTACATATGTTCCGCCATGCAGGGAACGAAGCTAATTCCGCTGCAGAGCAGAAAAAGACAGATTATGATTTTACCACCTACAACGGCAAAATCACATTCGAAACGTTTATGGCCGCAATTGGCGAAACTCCCCGTGGCCTCCATCCGGCCTCCGACACTGCATGAATCCCCTCATCTATGACATTTTTACGTGCAGCATATTGTAATTTGTAGCTTCCAACCGCGACCTAATATTCGCAGCCTACTTCATGTACCATTAGATATTCAGCTGCCAATTGTATCTACAGAGCATCGTTTGCGCGTTCCGCCATGTACGCGGCCCAGGATTCAAAAAATGACACTAAAGATCGGTTAGCACAAATTAATATGAAGATCCAAGACTATTTAGCGAGCCTCAAACCAATTCCGCTTCCCAGCTCGTCTCGACTCTTGGGGGACAGTGTACTTCCCTCGCGCAAACTCGAGGCAGAAGCTAGCGAAATTTGTATCGTTGAATATCATAGTTCTTTGTTGATAAAAATATGTTCTTGGCAAGTTCTTGGTCGCAGTATGGCAGGTATAAATTTGTCGTCTAACGGTCCATTTGGCGCTGTGGGCGAGGCAATTAATGTTGATTGAGCTTGCAACCAACTTACCTTGATCCGGATTTCTGCCGAAGATGCCACCAAGTTGCGGCCACCTCCCTGATTGCGGTTTGATTGCAACGCATTCAG